GGAAAATATTTATGATTTGTATACAGAAATGTATAACAAGTCGAATATTTATAGCTTTAAAAATATATTATTCCACTTTGAAATCCGCATCTAAAATTTATAGTGAGGGGTTAAGAATAAGTATATATGAATTAACTGAATGTCCTTTTTCAGTTTTTTCATTGGCGTTTTAAATATTTGCATCACAATATAATTTTAAGTGAAGAATTAGAAATAAAACAAGAAAGCTTGATTCGCTCTTTGAAAATGTATTGGCAATAATGAAATTTATTTTAAAAATCAGTCGAATTAAACTCTTAACATGAATCTTATCTATCTTTATTGTTATCAAATAATGAAAGCTGGTAGAAGTTTTATGGCAGCGGCAAATGAGCCACCGATGACCTCACCTTCATCTTCAAATTCAAACGGCCAAGAGCCTCAACTACCTCCTTTATTACCGCCATTACGTTCGACTCAACACATTTTACAGCCATTGTCAGTGTTCCCAGGTGGTGAGATGTTATATTCAACCATAATCTTTAGTTCTCTATTTATTTCGCTTTCCTCCATTACTTATCAGCTTTTTAAACATTAACATTGTCAACGCAAATTTTTTCTATCTGCTATAAACGCATAACCCGAGTTAAATATATGTGTAGGGACATTTTCTGAAGTGTGTTTATAATAAATTCTTCTTCCTTCTTTATTTCCTAAACACTGCGAAAACAGTTCAAATTTGAATAAATTGATTGTAATGCATCAAGCTTGACTTGAAGTCTTAACATCAAAATCATAGCCATTCTAAAGCTCATAAAACTATGTATTTAAGCTACACATTTTATTGCAGGCATGTACAGTAAAGTAATTTCATTCAGAAATCTTCAAAAATTTAATGTCACATGCAATTATTTGTCTTTCCTTAGTGTTAATGTCCTAAAAATCTGAAAGATTCATGAAAAAATCGAGTGGTCAAATTCTGTGCTATTTTTCTTTTATTCACATAAATCGGAGAATTAGTTTTAATTGAAAATATTTATCCCTTTTCACTTTACTAATTCAATGTTGTACAAAAACGAAAAGTCGTGTCGGGTTTAAACGAGGACGTGACGTATGATTATGTTTTCGGTGGACCAAGGGCGGCTGTTTCGTATTCAACGCTTAAGCTGACGTCGCCTCCAGTTCGGTTGCGTCCTGACGATAAATTCTGTAAGTCAATAGAATATAACATTGATTATCTTTCTTTTATCTTCAAACTAAATAAAATTTATTTAATTGAAAATTAAAACGTAAGATACGCAACATAGATTTAGTGGAAGTTTAGATGACGGCAGAACATCTTCTTCTCATTCGCATTTTCATTATCAACAACCACGCCGTTCTCCGGGGAATTCATTGAAACGTCAAAAAAGTTTACTTGATGGACATGGATCTCGAACATCTTTAAAAAGTATTGCTGATGACGAAGAAACTCTACGACGACTTCTTAATGAGTAAGTTTTCATTATAACATTCGCAATTAAAAGTTTATCATAACTACTTTACGTTTTTTAACTTCCTATTATTATGTACTACATGTTTTGATTTTGAGTTCTATTCATAGTTCTTTCCCTTTCAATTCGCTTACCTATAAATGTTTGCTCGATTTTTCAATTTGTTTCATTCATTCCCGAATTCATATTTTATTTTTTATGATTAACAAGGTAGATAGAAATTGTTAGGGTGCTTAAATTCTAATTAAATAGATAAATCTCTAAAAACGCAACCTTTTTTATACATATTTTTATTCGTCATGTTTATGATCTTCAGAAGAAATTTAAAACCTACATTTTAATTTTTAAAGCACTTCATATACATTTTTTGTAGCGAACATTTTTTAATGCTATCATAGTTCGTGTTTTAACTGTAGCATCGAAATATTTGAGGATCAGAAAAAAAAATCACGTTATGATTTAAGAGAAATTTTTGGAAATCGTAGATATTCTTGTAACTTTACGAAATTTTCATAAAAGTTTACTATAACAAAATTAATATAATTGTAGGTATATCTAATTTATAACTCATTCTAATCTATAATCCATTCTCATCGTTTACATATGTTGCACTTGACCTTTTATTATTATAGTGAAAACTATGTCATTGCAATAGCAATTTTTTTTATGGTATGGCTCATTTATTCAGTTTCAATGGCTTTCATTCAGTCGAATGATATCAAAAAATCCTCTAAATAGAAATAATTAACATAATTTAATCTAACACTTTATATATTATAANTCAACTTATTCTTTTTTTTCTTTATTTCTTTTCACAATCTAGATATTTCATGTTGATCCATATTTTCGCTAGGAAAAGTTGAACTGTTATAAAAAATATGAAGAATGAAAAAGTTTTTTCTAACCGTAAGCAAAATGATATTTCAGATTCTTTTGCAAAAAATCTATAGTGTGACAAATAAAAAAGAACTTTCATTACCTTAAGATTCATAAATATAAATTCAATGTAAATTAAATCAAAAGTTTGAATAATGAGTTTGATGAAGTAACGAATGACTTTGCTGTGTTGAGAAAAGACTTTTTAATAAGCAATCGAAAAAGAAATAAAAAACATTCATAGTCATTTAACCATAAACAGTCCATTATATGATGATGATGGATCCGTATCCGCCACCAAGGTGATTTTCTTTGTTACGCTCATTATTAGGGTCAATGATCATATTGATGGACCTAATCAAGGATTTTCATGATACAAACGCAGAAAAATATATGAACAGAACATTTAAATAAAATACTGAATTAAGAAACTTATGTTTAAATTTAACATAGTTTCTTAATTAAGTGTTAAAATTTCATAAATACTTGGCATAGCTGAGAAAATTTAACTCTTAGCTATGAACATATTGTTGGACCCACCAAATGAATTGTTGGACCTACACTGTACATAAAATTGGACTGTGTAGAAAAATGCATTTGTGTGAGTCAAAATTGAAAAGTGTTGGTGGTTTGAATTTAAATGTGAACGTTATTGATCAAAAATAATAAAAAAGTAAAAAAATTAAAAAATTGATGAAAATAAGGTAAACTAATTCTATAAAATGATAATTAA